TTATGACTTCCCTGTCATGTTTCTTTTTTATACTTAAAAATCTTGTGTTTGAATGTCAATTTTTACATTTTCTTCTATTTTTCATTCTTTTGACTTTTTAAATTTTTTTGATGTCTCATGGAGTCATTAGCTTCCACTTACCCAATTCTAATTTTTACGGAATTATTTTCCTCAGTGAGCTTTTGTACCTCCTTTTCCATTTGGTCAATTCTGCCTTTTAAGGAGTTCTTTTCTTCAACGAATTTTTGTGTTTCTTTTCAGAAATTGGGCCAATTGTTTTTTTTAAGATGTCTCTTTTACCAAGCTGTTAACTCTTTTTTCATAATTTTCTTGCATCACTCACATTTCTTTTCCCATTTTTTCCTCTCCCATTTTTATCTCCTTCTTTAACTCTTCCAGGAATTCTTGTTTGGCTTGGGTACAATTAGCATTTTTCTGTGAGGCTTTGTTTGTAGCTGTTTTCACACTGTTGTCTTCTTCTGAGTTTATATTTTGATCTTCCCTGCCATCATTGTAACTTTTTATGGTCAAATTCTCTTCTTGTTGTTTGCTCATTTTTTTTCTAGCCTATTTCTTAACTCTGAACTTTTATCTTACAGCTGATCTCTGCTTCCCTCGGGATGGAGAGGCACTGCCACATCTTTTAGGCTTTTTTGTGCTCCTTTTTTCACAGCTGGGGGTCTGCAAATTTTTGGTGCTTCTCTGATGGTATAATGCAGGGAGAGATGTTGTAACTGCTCTACTGGTCTGTGCTTTTGTCTTTACCCATGAAGGACCCATGCTCCCTTGTCAGTACTATCACTCCTCTTGGCCCTGGAACTGTGACTGGGTCCCCTGATCTCTTGTATCCACAAGCACCAGTGCTCCTTTTTGTCTTGAAACTGTGACCCAGAACTGCTTATGAGCAAGGGAGTTGCTAATCAGCATCAGCTGCCCCTGGTGCTAGCAAAGGGTCCCTTGTAATCTCCTTCTGACCAGTCTTCTTGTCTAACCCTCTTACTGCCTCTGGGCTGAGAGCTCCATAAGCTGCTGCCAACGCTGCCACCACCGCAGCAGACGCAAAGGCCCGCGGCTGGTGCTGCACAGCATGTGCTCTGGGCAGGCACCCATCCCAGTGTCACACACCTCTTCTGTTGACCTCCTAAGTTGTCTTGGACTGGAAAACTGTCTCTGACCTTTTATTGGCTCTGCCCCTATAAAAGCTGATTTGAGAAGTTAATTGTAAAGTTGTTTAGAGGGGAATGTTGGGAGAGTCCAGCTAGGTCACTGCCTGTACTCCACCATCTTGCCTCCACCTCCTCCTTCCTCACTTCCTAACAGCATGATAGTATTCCATCACACTCTGATATTACAACTTATTTAGCCATTCCTCTTTTTTTTGGTGAGGCAATCAGGGTTAAGTGACTTGCCCAGGGTCACAAAGCTAGTAAGTATCAAGTTTCTGAGACTGGATTTGAACTCAGGTCCTCCTGACTGCAAGGCCAGAGCTCTATCCACTGTGCCACCTAGCTGCCCCATCATTCCTTTACTGATGGGTATCCAGAGAGATAATTAAATATTCATAGATAACAGTGTTTTCTTACAATGTTCTCCCCCCTCCATTGCTAATACTTTAAAAAGAAAGCCAATTGTAAGCCAAGACAAAAAAAGAAAACAAAGTACTAAACCACTACCCCACAAGTCTGTATTCAATGCAAGCCACAGACAAAGACATTCTGCCACAAACGGCTGTTAACAAAAGGCCTAATCGTGGTTTTCCATTCAGGACCTCCTAAAGGCAAACCTATCTACCCAGACCTAGCCTGGAAAAATAAGACCACAGATTTAGAGTGAAAGGGTACCGTAAAGGCCATCTAGTCCAATCCTCTCATTATACAAATAAGGAAATGTAGACAGGAGAGGTTAAGTGACTTGTCTAAGGTCACACCAAGAGTAAGTAGTAGAAACAAGACATGAACTACGTCTCCTGACTTCAAAGCCAGTATTCTTTCTACCATATCATACTGCCTATGAAGGAAAGGGTTTTTTTTTCTCCAGGATAATATTTCTTAGTCTAGTCTTAATTTGCTCCAAACTTCACAGTTTATAGATTCAAGAGGGGAAAAAATCCAGGAGTCACTGATCAGTGACTTGCATTTGATTCTGATGTGCTAAAAATATTTTCTAAAAGTCTACAGTTTTAGACACTGAGATCACAGCCCTATCAGTTTAAAATTTTTTTTTTTCCAATTTTTTGACTTTCATTTTCCAAATAGTTGAGGGGTGGGGCAGGGAAACACTTTCCATAAATAAATAAATGTTCATTAAGTTCCATCCTTCTTGTGTCACTTATGCCTGGCCATTTGTCCAGTGATGACACACCATGGGAGGGGACATTACATTTAGTTTCACAGAAATGTCACTGGCTATATTTTTTTTGGGGAAAATATTTTTCAAAAAATTTCTGTGATTATATAGTAAGAGACAGAAAAAAATGCTTGATAATCAAAAAAAAAGTTATTTGAAAAAATTCAAAGAGTTTAAATAGACATTAATAGATCATTTTCCACTATAGATTCCAAAACAGACTTGATGAAGAAAATAAAATCCTATCGGGTCTATGCTGGTGTGGGTTGGTATGAGTGATATAGGTTTCCATGTCCTGGCTTCTGGCTCTGTAAATTTAGACAAGGCATTAATCTTGATGAACATCATCTGTTTCCCTCATGTATAAAATGGAAATAATAATATTTGTACTATCTATCTCATAGGGTTGTTGTGAGGATATGCAAGGAATATCATAGCCTCTTCCTGAACCTTGATCTACATGCTAGGTCCAAGCTCCCTGACCCCAATTTCTGGTTCAGTTTGATTTAGATACAAAACCTATGTAAGTCCACTCTGCTTCATCCTTGTTGGATGCTAAACTCCATCCGGGACCCCATCAAACTGCCCGTATCCATCTACCCTGACCACCCCTCCACTGTGTGAATGTATCGACACACAGCTTCAACAAGATTGCTTGCTTTACTTTCTCTCTAACTGCTCCCATCTTGTTTGGCATTTTTCCAGGTGTGCTCGGCCTGTCAGTTATGTCAGTTCTTCCCTTCGAAGCATGAGCAGTCGTCCAGAGAAATGACTAAATATTCAGCAGCTGCAGCCACACTTACAGCCCAAGCTTTTGACTTAGGGAATGTAGAAAGTGAGGGCTGAATCAGAAACCATGTGTCCTCATGGCAGGGTACCCTCCTTCTTCCTAACACCGGGGCCGTGACTAGAGTCCTCTACTGAACAGCATTTTTCACCGGGCAAAATAAATGGCAGATAAAGGAGATCGCTGCCTCTCCCCATATGGGACTTTGTATTTCAAACCTTTCTAAGTGTGTTAAGACAAGATCAACCAAAATAATAAAAGTAAAATGCTCTGTAAAATCTAAAGCATTATACAAATATGAATTGTTCTTATTTCATGGACCTGTGGTTTCATAGGTACAGATGCCCTTTCTACTGATAAGAATTGTAACTCCTCTTTAATTTAGTAACAAGTCTTCATCAGTGGCTGAAGCTAGATATCATCCCCTATAGCCAACCTGGGCAGCTAGGTGATGCATTGTGAATCAAGTAGTAAAAATACTATTATCCAGGCACTTAATAAATGCTTATTGATAATCAGTCACAATTTTACCCACAAAAATTCAAGTCAATAAATATTTATTAACCACCTACTACATGCAAGGCACTATGCTAGGCAGTGGGCAGGGGTGGAAGGGGGTGGTACAAAACAGTTCCTGTCCTGAAGAAGTTTACATTCAATTTGGGGAAAACAACATATGCAAAGAAAATTAAAGGAAAAATATGTACAAAGTAATTTCCAGGGATAGGGTACATGTCTAATATGAAGGCTAGTTTGTTAACCACAGAACAGGGATCTGACCAGGCATTAAGGCAGGCTAGAATAGGGCTGGATAGGGGAACAGGAGGGATGGGGCTGACAAGCACAGGCATGAGGGAGCAGGAAGTGGTGTTTAGGAAAGGGAGCTTCAGTCTAGGCAGCTCCCACCCTGAAACATGAGGAATCTAAGTGGAACCCACCAGGCAATCAATTCTTATGGCAGATTAAGAATCCCTAAACAAGACTTGGAAAGTTGGATTTGGTGGAAAGGTAGGGGAGGACTAATTGCAATGCATATCCCTGATCTTCACATCAGAGTGATGCTTGCTTCCAACTTGACACTGAAATATTAATGACTACTTTGGGTATCAATTAGCTCCAATTAGCCAATTAGCTCCAGACCCATCTAACTGAGCCATCATCTTACCCACGTTTCTCCTTTTCCACAAAAAGGGTATGATTATTTTTGTCCAACATTTTGCTAATATCCAGGAAAACTGTTATTATCTACATCAGTGGTAACACACTCAAATAGAAATGGGGGCCACTAATCCATAAGTAAAGATCCCTGGGGAGCACACATTTTTTTCAGCTGAAACTAAATTTTTAATTTAAAAAAATTATTTTTAATTTATGGAACAAAAGAAGTATTTCCATAACACAGTACAATAAAAAAGATTATTGCACATAAAACTACAAATCTGTGATGTACAACTTGCTATTCCCTCCAAATACACAACAAAGTTATCATGTAAATTATTTTCTTTTTTTTTCTTCTCCCTCCCCCAGCCCTAGGTATGGCTATAGTTTTAAAATGTGATACTATCTAAGCTTTATCATTTTATTTATCTTGCTAAATATTTCCCAATTGCATTTTCATCTGGTTCAGATGGCACTTTGGAGTGCTCTATAAGGGATCCCTGATGACCAGTATAGTAACCCAGTCAGAACAGGAAAGAAAGTGAGTCTGGCCAGGAGATCATGTATGTCCTCCACTCCGCAAACCTCAAAGTGCTATCTAAAATGTCAGCTGTTATTATTTATGTATGTGAGTCTCATCTTACTTGAGCTAAACTGTTCTTAGAGAACTGACTATTACATAGGGAATACTTGTGTAATTTAATGTTACCTGATAGTCTTCCACACATCAAAGCCATCTAGTGGTTTCGTGCTGTTTGCATGTCCGCCAGCGAGGTTGACTAGAGTAGGCAGCCAGTCAGAAATGTGCATGAGTTCCCAGTTTTGCACTCCCTTCTGTCTCAGTAAGGGGCTGGCTACGAAGCCCACTCCTCGAATTCCGCCTTCCCACAGTGACCATTTTCTTCCTCTGAGTGGCCAGTTGTTGCCCCCGGCCAAAGTCTGTCCGCCATTGTCTGGAACAAAATTAGATATGTATATAAAGGCCACGTTAGCATACACAGAGGTGATGACATCTTCAATTCTCCAGTGATTTGAGGCCATTGTAAGAAGGTAATTCAGTAATAGCAAATCCTCAAGATGAATCGATGTCTCAAAGTAGTGGATTTTGTGTCAGAATTATTAATAGACTTTTGTATAGCCTAAAACCCGTAGGCTATGGATGTTGAAGGGTGATGTATAGATGAAAAGACTAAGTCCAAGTCACTGTTTAGGGAACTATGGCTCCCAATAAGAGAGCTGAGAAGATTGTCTGGTTTACTCTTGGCTATATTTGTTGTCTTCCTAATTTCTGTTGATGTATTTGTTTTTATATCATCTGTATTTCTGAATAGATGCCTCTGTACGTCCTAACCAGGAAGCTATCCCTTTTAACAAAGAATAAAAAAAAAGAGGGGAAAAAAGTAATTCAGCAAAATTAACCAACATATCAATTAAATCAGGCTGTCTGGTTTTTGCTGATTTACTGCAAAATTCAAAACTAAATGGATGTTCCAGAACTCTCACAGTAATCTGAGATGATTAAGTGTGTAAACTAAGGATTTCTTCAATGGGCTATATTAATCTATAGGCAGCTAGGTGATGAAGTGGATAGAGTGCCAGGCCTGGAGTCAGGAAGACTCAAGTTCAAATCCAGCCTCAGACAATTACTTGTTGGGAGACCCTAAGCCAGTCACTTCACCCTGTTTGCCTCAGTTTCCTTCTCTGTAAAATGAAGTGGAGAAGAAAATGGCAAACCATTTCTGTATCTTTGCCAAGAAAACCCAAAATAGGGTCATGAAGAGTTAGACATGACTGCAATGAGTGAACAACAACAGACATTAAACAGGAAAAAAAAAATACCATGCTCAAGGCAGATTGACAAGCTGGGCTTGTCTTGGATAGTGTTGGGGATTCGTGCTATTTATTTTCCTAAATGTTCTTTGTAATCTTTTTTTTTGTAATGTAAACATATTTTATTTTGTGCATTTGAAATATTCTGAGATGGGGTCCATAGGCTTAACCCAACTGCCAAAGGGGTCCATGACACAAAAGAACTCTTGTTCTACAAAGAGCCCAATCTATACCATGCCCAAGGGAAATTTCATGAGTACTCCATGAAAGGAAAAAGGACTTTCAGCAGCTGGGAGCTAAGAGTTACCCCTTTGTCCTGTGTGCTCTCTAAGCTTGAGTCCATTTTCTTCTAGAGCCTGTATGTGCTGGTGAGAGAGCAAATCACAGACTTTTGAGGGGATTATTTTGTACCAACTGTTCTTACTATACCACATGACTAAATAACCCAATATAAAACTAAATTAAGTCTGATTGACTAATTGATACCAACTGATTATCATAGGAGGAAGCCCACCAGTTGGGCTTGTAAATTATAGTATTAGGGGAAAAAAACCTAGCACCTCCAATTCCTTAGAGCCAGCCTTAGAACTCACAGGGAAATTTAGCTGCTTCCCTCTTGGGACCCAACCAGTCAGAGTGAATGGAATACTATTGTGACATAAGAAATGATGAGCTAGATGCTCTCAGAAAAACCTGGAGATACTTACATGAACTGATGCAAAGAGAAATGAGCAGAATCAGAACATTGCACACAGTAACAGCAATAGTGTAAGATCATCAATTGTGAATGACTTAGCTCTTCTCAGCAATACAATGAATCAAGACAGTTCCGAAAGACTCATGATGAAAAATGTTATGCATGCCTAGAGAAAGAACTGATGTCGTCTGGATACAGATCAAAGCATACTTTTTAAACTTTATTTTCTTGGGGTTTTTTTTGTAACGTGACTAATATGGAAATAGATTTTACATGACTACACATGCATAACCTATATCAAATAGCTTGCCTTCTCAATGTGGGAGGGGTTGGAGAGGGAGGGAGAGAATTTGGAACTCAATTTTTAAAATGAATATTGAAAATCGTTTTTGCTTGTAATTGGGGGAAAATAAAATATTAAATAACCCCCCCCCAAAAAAAAAAAACCTGGTCTGGTATTTTATAGAAGACCTACATGGCAAGAACAGGTCTTATTAGCCAATAACAATAAACCCCTTTTGCAGCATCACTCCATTTCATCTAACAGTTTTCAAGGGCTTCTCAAACCAAGTCTAATGCTCTTGTTTGATGATTGATGAAAGTAAGGATGTCTAGGCCTTGTTCACTTCTACTTCATAATTTTAAGTGGGATTGGGTGATTCATTGATTGGTTAAACAGACCACCACTTATGAGCCCATGAAATGGTCAAAGTAAGCCTCACAGACATAGAGTAAGTTCTGTGCCAACAGACTATGTGCCTCTACTTTCCCAAGGAAATTAAAAATTTTCCCAGATTCTCAGAGAAAACTGTTTAAAAACCAACTCTGACAATTAAGCTATCTTTAGGACATTCAGGGCAAACCCCTGTGTTAGATGGAATGGAGTAAAAGACACAATTTCTTCTCCTTATTTGAATTTACAATCCAGAAAAGACAAAAGTAATATGAATGTACAGAAACACTGAAAATATATAAACATAGAAAACTAACTTTGGCTACATATGGTGCAAAATATAGGTAACATTCCCTTACAATGAACTCCACTGGGACTTCCAGAACATTTTGTAATAATGGAAATTAGGTAAATTGAATACATTGCTAGAAAGCACATGTCAAGTAAAAATGCTTTTAATTCAGAGGAGAAAAAAACGAGGTGTCAGGCACACATTACCCCATTTCCTTTCCTTCTCTCAATCCCTGAATCTTGTTTTCTTTGGCAGAGAGCTCAAAAGTTTCAGTGGATTTCGTTTAAGTGGGTGGGTTTTTTGCAAAAGGAAGATCGGTTGAAGGGTCATTGAAGCTCATGAGCTGCCAAGATCGGTCAGTTCCACCTCCTTGACATCTCTCACATCCATCTCCTTTTCTCTCCTCACAAAGCCACCCTTCATAAATTCTTACCTGGATGACTTAAATAGCCAATTAATTAATTTACTAATTAATTCTTATTAGTCTCTCCCTCCTCCAATCCTTCCTCCACACAGCTACTACACTGATACTCTTAAAATATAGCACTATTCATGTCACTCCCTTCCTCAAGAAGTTCCCTGTTGACTCTTGGGCAGAGTACAAACCCCGCCGGCATTTAAAAGCTCATCACAATATGGCTCCAGCTGAATTTTACATTATTTCCCCTCACACATTCTATGCTCCAGTCAATGTAGTCTATTTGTTGCTCACTCTATATGACCTTCCCTCTCTCATCTCCATGCCTTTGTACAGGTTGCCTGCCATACCCAGAATACTCTCTCTCCTCTCTTCAGCCTTCTACAATACTTAGGTTCTTTCGAGGTTCAGCTCGTTTTCCTCATTCCTCCAACTTTTTGTGTCCCCCTCAATCACTCTGTCTTTCGTTTGTATATATATGTTCTGTGTTCACTTATGTGAATATTGCATCCTTCTAGTAGAATGTAAGCTCCTTGAGGGCAGGGACAATTTCACTTTTGTCTCTCTTATCAACCCCAGTCCCTAGCACCTTTCCTGTAACACAGTAGGTTCAATAAGTGCTTGTCGATTGGTTGATTGAAAGGAAAGAGATTAAATAGCTCATCTACAACTCATCTTAACTATCTTCTCTCAAATAACAATGAAAATAACACTGAATCATTATACACAGTGGTTGCTACATGAATGGAACCCAGAAGAAACACTTGCCAATCAGTTGCTTCTATTATGGTATTCCACTCAGACGTCAGAATAGTGTAGTACGAGAGAAAGAGTTTTGGATTTTAAGTCAGAAGACCTGGGCTTGAATCCTAGTTCTTCAACTTACTAATTGTGGGAACCTGACCAAGTCACTCAATTTTTTTTTTCTGGGTCTTAGTCTCCTCATGAGAATGAGTTGGGCTAGGTGGCCTCTGAGATTTCTTACAGCCCTAAATCTATGATCTTATGATCCTATGAAGTTACTCAATTCCCCTGAGCCTCAGTTTTCTCATCTATAAGATGAGGGAGTTTGACTAGTGATCCCTAAAGTCCTTTCAGCTCTAAATCCCAAGGAGGAAAGTGGAATTTCTCACTTGACTACTTTAATCAACCTAGGGCAAAAACTGGTTACACTGATATAGAAAATTAATCCCATTTCAAACAATGCTTTCTCTCCCCCTTTTCCCTTTTTCTAATTTCCTACTTAACAGAAGTTATTTTTGCTTTGGTGGTCAAAGTTTCATTTTTAAGAGGTATTTTTCCCTGTTTCATTTCCAAATGAAATTGTTAAGGGAAAGCTGCAAGTCAAAATGAGATGACTTTCCTGGCAAAGGAAATCCAGAGAATGGAGCCTTTTAACAATGTTTTGACCAAAGAAAAACCTAGTTATAAAAAGTTTGGCATTTCTATATGTAATGTCAAAACAAAGGAATGGTTAGAGAATGCAAAATGTACATAATTCATTATTCATTACATCAATACTTCAAGGATCCATGATTTCATTTAAGTACTCCTTCTACCGAGGCCCTCCTTAGTACACAGATTAATGAGTTGCTGCAGCCAAAAGAATTCATCAACCTATGGCCAATACTCTAGTGATAAGCCTCTCTGAACTTAGTCTTAGGTTACAGACATAACACACAAAGGCTTTCCCACAACAACAAGAATAACTTCTATCTGTGAGAGCTGTAGTCTAATGGCATTGCCTTTCAGAACCCAAGGTCACTTGTTAAAGAGTTTGGAAGAGGACGGAAGGACATATTTGGAAATGAAGATGACAATAAAGGACTGACAGTGCACAACAATTAGGGGATAGCTTAACCAACTATAGTATATAAATGTAATAGAATATTATTTTATTGTAAGACAGGATGGAAGGGGTATTTTCAGAAAAACTTGAGAAAACTTGTATGAAATGCTGCAGAGTAAAGTGGGCAGAACTAGAACAACTTAGACATTATAATGACAAACTACTTTGGAAGACTTAACTCTGATCAATGTGAT